GATCTGATCCCAATGCTCCTGTGAGATCTGATCCTGCTGTTCCCGTGGGATCTGATCCTGCTGCTCCTGTCTGGGACTGCTCCCCCTGCTCCCATGGGATCTGATCCCGCTGCTCCCGTGGGATCTGATCCCGCTGCTCCTGCGGGACTGATCCCAATGCTTCCGTGGGACTGATCCCGCTGCTGCTGTGGGATCTGATCCCCCTGCTCCCGTGGGACTGCTCCCCCTGCTCCCGTGGGACTGCTCCCCCTGCTCCCGTGGGATCTGATCCCGCTGCTCCCGTGGGATCTGATCGCACTGCCCCCATGGGATCTGATCCCACTGCTCCTGTGGGATCTGATCCCATTGCTCCTGTGGGATCTGATCCCATGGCTCCCATGGGACTGCTCCCGCTGCTCCCGTGGGATCTGATCCTGCTGCTCCCGTGGGATCTGATCCTGCTGCTCCCGTGGGATCTGTGCTACGGAGCCAGGCTGCTGATCCCACCCTGTGTCCCCTTTCCAGGTGTCCCGAGGGTCAGGTGGAGCTGAGGCACTGCACCCCTGACAGTGACCTCCTGTGTGGTCCTGACACGGCCACCTGGCCCTACGGTGAGTGAGGGTGCTGGGGGAGGGACGGGGATGGGAGCAGCTGCTCCTGCTTCAGCCCCAGCAGCAGCTCACACCCTCACACCCCTGTTTTATCTGCTTTAGCCGCCAAGGCGATCGGCATCAGCATCGTGATTGCTCTGATAGCAGCTTGCATCCTGGCGGTGATCTGCAAACACCGCTGCAGCTCCCCAGGTGGGTGCAGGGGACCCCTGGGGCACCCACCTTGGCCAGGGGCTCTGCACTGGTGTGGGTAAAGTGGGAAGAGAGACCCCGGGAGCACCCACTGGGTGTGGGCTGGGTGGGAACAGACACCCCGGGAGCACCCACCAGGTGTGGGCTGGGTGGCAAAGAGACCCCGGAGCACCCACCAGGTGTGGGCTGGGTGGGAACAGACACCCCGGGAGCACCCACCAGGTGTGGGCTGGGTGGCAAAGAGACCCCGGAGCACCCACCCGGTGTGGGCTGGGTGAGCAAAGAGACCCTGGAGCACCCACCGGGTGTGGGCTGGGTGGCAAAGAGACCCCAGGAGCACCCACCTGGTGTGGGCTGGGTGGCAAAGAGACCCCGGAGCACCCACCCGGTGTGGGCCGGGTGGGAAGAGGGTCCTGCCTGGGGGAAGAGGGATCACAGTGCTCTTTCCATCTTGCAGGGGATGGGAGACCCCGGAGCAGGACTCCCTGTGAAATAGTGGTGAGTTCCTGGGATGGCAGGGGGCTGTGGCTGTGTTTATGGGCTGGGGTGACATCTCCCATTCCCTCTGCTCCTCACTTGGCCAGCAGATCCTGGGAGGGCTGGAGGAGCAGGGGGATGAGGCTCATCCAGCTGGGAAAGCAGGAGGAACAGGGGGATGAAGCTCATCCAGCAGTTCCTGGGAGGGCTGGAGGAGCAGAGGGATGAGGCTTATCCAACTGGGAAGGCTGGAGGAGCAGGGGGATGAGGCTCATCCAGCTGGGAAGGCTGGAGGAACAGGGGGATGAAGCTCATCCAGCAGTTCTGGGAGGGCTGGAGGAGCAGGGGGATGAGGCTTATCCAACTGGGAGGGCTGGAGGAGCAGGGGGATGAGGCTTATCCAACTGGGAAGGCTGGAGGAGCAGGGGGATGAGGCTCATCCAGCTGGGAAAGCAGGAGGAGCAGGGGGATGAGGCTCATCCAGCTGGGAAAGCAGGAGGAACAGGGGGATGAGGCTCATCCAGCAGTTCCTGGGAAGGCTGGAGGAACAGGGGGATGAGGCTCATCCAGCAGTTCCTGGGAGGGCTGGAGGAGCAGAGGGATGAGGCTCATCCCTGAGGCTTGTGGTAGAGCTGGGCCAAGCAGAGGAGGCTCTCTGGGTGCTTCCAGCCCCCTCCTCAGTGCCATTAACACTTTCCTGTCAGTGCTGGCACATCCAGGGTCCGCAGCGGAGATCCCAGGGTAGGGGCGGGCTGGGCTTGCCCGGAGCTCCTCCAAGCTTGGGATCCACACCCTTGGATCCACGGCGGGGTCCTGCCTTCCCAGACCACCACCACAGTTGGTGTTTCTCCCTTGGCACAGAGCTCCATGTTTGGGAAGCTGCTGTTGTGCAAGACGGTGACCGTGAGGTCAGAGGACAACTCGCCTGCAGGGCGGCCGCAGCCTTACGTGCCAGGAGTGAGGGTACGTGAGTGGCACCTCTGCCCCGGCGTGCCAGGCCAAGATCTGCCATCCTGGGGGGCTTCCTGGCTGCTCAGGGAGATGGTGAAGGGTCTCTTTGCGGGGTCAGGGTGGCAAAATCTCGTTGCACTGGAGAGAGTCCTCGGAGGGTTTAACGCTGGTGCTGAGCAAAGACAACTCTGGTGTCCCTTGTGGGGGGAGAGAGAGAGGGACCTCTCCATCCTCTGTCATCCAGAGACAGGAAACATGGATGTCCTGGGGTGGGTGGTGATCTCCTGCCCCAACAGCCCTGGGAGAGAGGGAGAGGGTCTCCAATCCCCATTAATCACACATTGGTGCTGGGGCTTGGTGGGTGCTGTAGGACACTGTCATTCCAGGAGTGACACTGTCATTCCAGCAGGGACACTGTCATTCCAGGAGTGACATTGTCATTCCAGCAGGGACATTGTCATTCCAGGAGATGCTGCCGAATGAGAATGAGACACCCCTGATCCATCTGGTTCCAGCACCAGGGCAGGAAGCCAGTGAAGGTAATCCCCCAGGGGATGTGCTGGGGGCTGGGATTCCTGTCCCAGCTGCCCGTGCTCTTGATAGTAAAAAGGTTTTAAAATCATGGGGATTTAGGGTTAACAGGAAAATAAGCTTAGTAGGCCCTGGAAAAATCAATACCTTAAGCACATGAAGAACTAGTATTTGCAACTGTGTAGCTAGTACATGATAAATTATGTAATTGTTAGATGGGATGATTGTTTAGTAATTAAATATAATTACTGTTTAATCATAAGAATAATCATGAGAAACTGTGGTCAGGGGCCTGAGAAAGATCATTAGAAACTCATGTCAATGTATACAATAGAACAATATAAGTTTAATAATTAATATGTAAGTTATATAAGGACAGAATATAAAATACGTTCAGCTCGAAAGCCGTGTCGGAGTCAGATTTGGGTCTGCACCCCTGATTCCAGAGCTCTCAATAAAAGCACCTGCATGGAATCATATCCCATGATGATGTGTGTTCCTAAACAATGTAAATTTAATAGTTAATATGTAAGTTATAGAAGGATAGAATATAAAATATGCTCGGCTTGAAAGCCGTGTCGGAGTCAGATTTGGGTCTGCACCCCTGATTCCCAGAGCTCTCAATAAAAGCACCTGCAGATAAAATCATATCCCATGATGATGTGTGTTCCTGAATGCTGACACTCTGGGCTGTCCTTCTCCCCTCCAGCGCTGCGGAAAACCTTCTACACCTTTGCTGAGAAGATCCCCATGGGTGAGTGGATGAAATTCGGCCACAGGCTGAACATGGGGGACAATGACATCAACATGGCCAAGTCCTACGACGGCTTCTACGGCATGCTGTGCAAGTGGCTGAACAGGGAGGGCTCCAGGGCCTCTGTCAACGTGCTGCTGGACACCCTGGTCCACCTCGACCTCCGTGGGGTGGCAGAGGACATCTCCCTCAAGCTGGTCAAGGATGGACATTTCCAGCACGAAACGAGCTGAAGGGGTCAGGGCACGCACGCTGCAACTCCCTCCGTCGAGCTACAGCTGTGGAATACCTCAGCAAGTGTTGAAATATTTAAATTTTTAGCTGTATGTAGCGCTCCTGTGGCTGCTCTCCTTTGGAAGCCATCGTGAGCTCAGCTGAGCCAGGAGGGGCTGATCCTCGTGGGAAGTGTGAGCCTCAGGGAGCTTCGATGTTGGTGCTTCCTCGTGGAATCCGAGCTGGTTTATTGATTTCACTGGGTCGACACCAAGATTTTCAAACGATTTCAATCTGCTTCCTGGATCACCTCATTTGGAAGCACTGGTACTACCCAGACTTCTTTGGGATCAGTGCAGAGAAGGGCTTTTGGCATCCCTGTGCTTCTGGACGGGATCATCCTTGATTCTCAAAGGATTCCTGGCATCATGAAATGGCTTCTGCTTTTAGACCATCTCTAAGTAAGCTTCATTCTCCATGCTTGGTGGCTCTGCGTGCTCAGCTGGGGTCTAGGGGGTACTTTTTGTGTACTGAATTTTCGTTTTGTTTTAAATGGTTCTGCTTGTTCTTAGGAGGCAATTTAAAACTTGACTTGGAGGGGAGAGGAGGAATGATTGACTTGCACTGGAACACTGGGATTGCCTGGGGAAGGGGGGGTCACCCAGCCCAGCCCCCTGCCAGCACCAGGGACACCTTCCACTCCACCAGGTTGCTCCAAACCCCATCCAGCCTGACCTTGAATGTTTGCCAGGATGAGGCAGCTTATCTGGGCAGCCTTTCTGCCAGTGTTTACCGACCCTCAATGTGAAATATTTATTCCTGTTAGCTAATCTAATGTCATCTGCATTCGGTTTAAAACCATTCCCGTGTCCTGGCACTCCAGGCCCTTTTTCAGAGTTCCTCTCCACCTCTCCTGGAGCCCCTTTAGGTACTGGAAGGGGCTTGGAGGTGTCCCAGAGCCTTCTGTTCTCCAGGCTGGACAATCTCAGCTCTCCCAGCCTGGCTCCAGAGGGGTTCCAGCCCTCAGAGCAGCCCCGTGGCCTCCTCTGGATTTCCTCAAACACCTCCAACATCCTTGTGGAGGCCCCAGAGCTGCGGAGAAGGGAAGAATCCCCTCGTGGGCCCAGGTCAGCCCCGTGGCCGTGGGGTGGCCCTGCTGTCCCTGTGTGCCCCAGCGTGGAGGGGTGAATGCACTAAGTGTGAGCGTGACCGTGGTACCCCCTGCCCGTCCCAGCCCGTGGGCAGCTCCCCAAACGCTGCACCTCACCCTGTCCCTCGCTAGGGACAACCCAGCTGCAAAAACAGCTGGGAAAACTACTGGATTACTTGAGTTACCCCCCCAGTCCATCCCCAGTGGGCTGGGAGGGTGCTCAGCATCCTTCCTGCTGCTCTCCTTCTCCCCCACCCTCCAACACTGCGTCCACAAGCAGAAATTTTTTTACTTAATTTATTTAGCAATTGTAAATACGACATACGTTAAGTTAAAAGCTATATAAAAATAGTTATATTCTTATGCATGGTTCTGTGTTTTTTACAGAGCTCTGGCCCAGCCAGTTTGCTGTTTTCCAGTTTTTTACATATCTCTGTTTATGAAGGGTTAA